ACACAAGCTCTAAGGCAAAAGAAAGAAAGAAAGAAAGAGAAAGAAAGAAAGAGAAAGAAAGAAAGAAAAATTACTCAGGGGCCAGCAGGCGGAGTGGTGGTTAAGGCACTGGATTCCCATGTGACTGTGGTTTCAACCCTGGACCTGGTGGCTTGAAACTCACACTGGTCATGTGTGTGCCCCAAATCTTGAGAGAATGGAGGAGAAGGGATTGGGTGTGGCCACCCCCTGGGGGATGTTTTTCTGGTGGGCACACTCTCCCTATGCCAAAATCTCTAGGAGTAGGGGTGGGGGGTGAGTTTATTCAGGGGAAGGCAGGTGGCTTGGTGATTAAGGTGCTGTCCCACATGATCGACCATGGTTCGAGTCCTGGACCTAGTGGCTTGCTTTCTCACTTTCTCTCTCTGGTCAGATTAAAAAATAATAATGGGACCAGCAGTTAGCGTAATGGCTATGTCACTGGACTCCCACGTAGTCGACCACGGTTCGCGTCCCTGACCTGGTGGCTTAAAACTCACGCCAGGCGCATGTGCGTGCCCAAGATCCCGAGAGGAGAATGGAGGAGAAGGGATTGCAGCGCGGCCATCCCCCCTGGGGGGGTGTGATTTCTCGCTTTCTATCTCTCTGTCTCTCTCTGTCTGTCTGGCGAACGCACGCACCCTATAGCAAAAACCTCTCCCTAAGGCCCCCCCAAAAATAAGTGAAATTAAATAATAAAACAATTATTTTTTAAAAGTTCATTCATTTATTTCTTCCATGAGCGAGACAAAGAGCAAAAGAGACAGACGTACACGTCAGCAGGCTCTCCATGCCACTGTGTGCCCCCAAAGGCTTAGCTGGCCCAGAGCTCAGGCACACATGCGCTGTTGACTTGGCCCTCGAACCCAGGACCTTTGGAATGTGTGTCCAGTTACATTGCCACTGCACCACCACAGCTTTTATTTATTTATTTAGAGAGATTGTTTTATAGCGCATGTGCACTTGCTGGAGAGACAGAGATAGACAGAAAGCGAGAAATCACCTCCCGGGGGGATGGCCACACCACAATCCCTTCTCTTCCATCCTTCTCTTGGGACTTTGGGCATGCCCGCACACGTGCCTAGCATGAGTTTAAGGTCCAGGACTTGAACTTCAGGCGACTCCGTGGGAGTTCAGCAACATAACCATTATGCTCTCTGCTCGTCCCCAGTAGCAGCTTTTAAAATGACTCACTTGAAGTCTTCAGGATCCAAGTTAGTTTTTATAGAAACGGTGCTTGTTTTCACACTCTTAGATCATCAATTTATATAATATTGAGTCCAATGACAAACGACACTAGCACACAGCCGGCAGAAACACACCGGGATGGAATCCCAGCTTACGCTCGGAAAGCAAAGCCTTCGGCAGCGGCAGCGGAGTGGACCGGCACAGCCTTCCAGGTGTTCACTGCCTGGGCGGGAATCCAGATTTCTGATTTCGCCACGTCCTCACTGGGCGACCTGGGAGTTCAGATTTCTTCCCTTTGCGCCTTCTTTTCTCATCTACGAAAGGGGATGATAGCAGCCCCTCATAAACCCGTCATGCGGATGAATGGAGGAAACACTTGGGAGCCCTGGGAACACGCGGCCGCAGGAAGGCTCAGGGAAGGGACCGTGGGATCTCCGCAGCTGCCGTACTGCTGCAGTGGCCCCACAAGCCAGACGAGCCTGCAGCTGACATGGGCCGCACGGTGAGGAGGTGGAGCGCATGGCTTGGTTAAGATGTGTATTAAAGGCCAGCTGGTGGCGTGGTGGGTAAGGCACTGGATTCCCATATGGCCGACCATGGTATGAGTCCCAGATCCAATGGCTTGAAAAATCACAACAAATAAACAGATAAATATATATATATATATTTAAATGTAGTATTATGTCTCTCCATTTCCCAGATGAGAACATGGGGGCCTGAGGAGAGTCAGTGACTTCACAGTTTTGGGGCCAGCAAGTGGCGTGGTGGTTTGGGCACTAGACTCCCACAAGGCTGACTGCAGCTGGAGTCAGGAACCTTATGGCTGGCTTCCTCACTTTCTCTTTCTCTCTGTCTCTCTCTAGTCAAATTAAAGAAAATGATAGTGAATACAGTTAAACTTTTTAAAAATATATATTTAATTTTATTCATTATTATTTTTTAAAATTTGATTAGAGAGAGAGTGAAGAGGGAAAATGAGAAAGCAAGCTACCAGGTCCAGGACTCAAACTGCAGTCAGCCATGTGGGAGTTCAACACCTCAACCACCATGCCAGCTGCCAGCCTCAAATAAACAATTCCTTAAGAATTCATAGTTTTTAGAAGTGGCAAGGGCTTTAGCAATCATGAGGTTTGGATCCAGAAAGAAAAGGGAAATTCGGGACCAGCAGTTAGCTATGCTAATGGCTATGTCGCTGGGCTCCCACGTAGCCGACCATGGTTCGAGTCCCGGACCCAGCAGCTTAAACTCACACCGGGAGTGTGTGCATGCATGCCCAAGATCCTGAGAGGAGAATGGAGGAGAAGGGATTGCAGTGTGGCCATCCCCACTGGGGGGGGCTTTCTTGCCTTCTGCCTCTCCTGTCTCTCTCTGTCTTGCTGGCGAGCGCACGTGCCCTATAGCAAAACCAAAAACAAAACAACAACAAAAAAACTCTCAAAAAAAAAAAAAAAGAAAAGGGAAATTCACCATCCACGTTTAAAAAATAATTGTATTTATTTATTCATTCATTTATTTTAATTTGACCAGAGAGAGACATAGAGAGAGAGAGGGAAAGTGAGAAAGTAAGCCACCAGGTCCAGGTCTCAGACAGTGATTGGCCATGTGGGAGTGGCCAGCACCTTAACCACCATACCACCTGCTGACTCCATTACTGTTATTTTTTAATAATTAATTTTACTTATTTTAATTCATTTTTCTTTTGCTGATTGAGTCAAAAATCCCAGGGAGAGACAAGCAGGCCTTGGTGCTGAGACTGCAGAGGTCTTGGCTGGCCGGCCTCAGGAGCCCACTGTCTGGCCACGTGCGTTCCATCTCGAGATCCAGGGCTGGACAACCGGGAAGGGGCTTGGTCCCCACAGACCCCTAAAGTATGTGCGTTGGGAGGTACTGCAGACAGGAGGCCAGGAGGGTGCAGGTCACGTGATCATGCAGAAGCCAGACTCAGTGGGCCTCTGGGGCTCCCTATGGAGGGTCTCCCTGGGCCACTTGGATGTCCTAGAGGAGGCAGGGAAGGGTTTGCCAGTGGGGTGACTGGGGGAAGCACAGGGGGCAGCCCGCCTGGCCTCGGTCTACTTGGTTCTTACCTCTGCTGGTGGTCTCCAGGGCAGGAGGGAGCAGGCTGAGGCTTCACCTCCCTGCCTCTCGCAGGGCTCTCCCTTTGTCTGAGGCCTACAGTCAGGCCGTGGAGGCGGCAGGGGAAGCCTCGGGCCTCCGGAGCAGGGTGAGGACTGTTCAGATTGCTAAAGAACAGAAAGAAAGATGCGCAGGGGCTGTCTCCCAAGCGCCCGAGCCCATTTCCCAGGTCGAACAGTGATCGTGTTCTGTGTTAGACTCATCAGCTTCCTTGCTCCATTCTCCGGGCCTCCTCCCCTCTCTCAGGGACCCACCTATTGGCTTGTGGGCCATTGGGTACCAGGATGCCAGAGTGCTCCACTCTTCGGGGGCCTGGGCCTCCAGCTGGAAGATGGGCCCTGAGTCCTGGAGCTGGAAGGGCAGGCACACACATTCATCACAGGCCTCTCCGCACCAAGAGCCATCATGGTGGGAGAGAGCTCTGGGACAAGAACAGGACCAGGGTGTGGGCGGGGGGAGTGTTGGCCACCGCACACAGGACCGGCCTCCTGCAGGGCAGGTGCCTGGCGAACACTGCCACTAGAAGCCAGCTAACAGGAATGTCCCTGTGCCTGGAAGGGAACACACTGAAAACAAAGCGCCCAAAGTTCAAGTCAGCTCAGCAGGGAGCAGGGACTCCACTCGAGCTGGAGCCGGAGGTTTGGGGGAGGCAGGCCACCAAACAGTGAGCCGGGTAAGAAAAGTGTCCAGAGTGGCACCTGGCAGCTCTTAACACACCTGGGCACCCTGAGATGCAAGGTTCTAGAAGGCAGAGAGGTGCAGGGTGCAGGAAGAGGTGATTCTGGAAATGGTGGAGTAGGACTGGATGGCCCAGGCCTTCAGTGACTGGGTCCTTGAGAGAATTGACTCACCCTCCAGTCTCTGAGGCCCAGACATGACCAGAACATTCGCTGATTCCTCTTCTTCCTCCTCCTGGCCTTCCTCAAACTCTCTCTCCTCCCACCTCCGGGAGGACCTGCAGGGGCAGGGAACCTGGCCACGGCCTGGCCCACACAGCGCACAGCGGCACTGCAGCCTGACCCCTCCACCATGTGACCCCTCCACCAAGGAGGCAAAGATGAGGCCCCACTCCGCGGAGACCCCGCCCAGCGCCTTCCAGAGACCACGCCCATTGAAGCCCCGCCCCCTCACTCACCTGTGCTGGGCCTCCGCAGAGGCACTACCCACCCTGGCCCCCGTTGCACACCGAGCCCGAGGCCTTCCCGGAACTGCTATCTGGCAGTGGAGGGGAAAAGGGAACCGGTCTGAGAAAAACGCATCATGCGTGTTCAGAGTGTATGCTCCCTCTAGGTACCTGAATGGAGACATAGAGACCCCAGAGAGATAGAGACTTAGTGAGAGACAACCTGGGCATGAAAATAAAATTAAAGAGGACGCCCTTTGTTCTCTTAAGATCTCCACTCCCGGAGGTGGTGTGGTACTTAAGGCGTTGGATTCCCACATAGGCAAGCACAGTTTGAGTCCTGACCTGGCGGCTTTCCCTCTCTTTCAGTCTCTCTCCAACAAATTAAAAAATAATAATAAGGGACCAGCAGATGGTGTGGTGGTTAAGGCACTGGACACTCCCGCATGGGTGACCAAGGTTCAAGTCCTGGACCTGGTGGCTTGCTTTCTCACATTCTCTCTCTCTCTGTGTGTCTCTCTGGTCAAATTTTAAAAAAATAATAATAAATTAAATTAAATAAATAATTGTTTTTTAAAAAGTGATAAGACACAAAACCTATTTAAAACATATTATGCAGGGGACCAGCAGATGGCATAATAGTTATGTTGTGAACTCCCGTGGTATGAGTCTGGGACCTGGCAGCTTAAAACTCACACCTGGCGCGTGAGCGTGCGTGCCCAAGATCCCGAGAGGAGAATGGAGGAGAAGGGATTGCGGTGTGACCATCCCCTCTGGGGGGTGATTTCTCGCTTTCTGTCTCTATGTCTCTCTCTGTCTGTCTGGTGAGCGCACCTGCGCTATAGTGAAAACCTCTCAAAAAAAAAAAAAAACTAATAAGACTTTTCCTTGTGCTTCTTTCACCATTGTATAAGGTTTTATAGCATTATCCTTGAAAATATATGTAAGTTTATGAGCTAGTGAAAAAGCAAGCCGCCAGGTCTGGGACTTGAACTATGGTTGGCATGTGAGAGTCCAACGCCCTTAACCACCATGACACTTGCTGCCCCCCCAGGGGTCATTTCTCACTTTTCCTCTCATTGTCTCCCTCCCTCTCCTCTCCAGTGAGTGCATGCAACCTATGACAAAACTCTGAAAAATAATTTAAAAAAAGAAAAATCACACCAGATGCGAGTGTGTGTGCCTAAAATCCCAAGAGTAGAATAGAGGAGAAGGGATTGCAGCGTGTCTATCCTCCCTGGGAGGTGATTTCTCACATGCTCTGTCTCTCTCTGGTGAGCTCACAAGCTGTATTAAAAAAAACTCTGTTTAAAAGAAGTATAATTTCAATTCCTGGAGTGGGAGGAGGTTTCCAGAGGGTATCTCAGAGTGTGAGGGAGGCAGCAGTTGGAGAGACCACAAACTGCAGAGAGAGGCCTAGAGGTGGAGAGAGTGAGGCAGAGCCGACCTAGCGGTGGAATCCCACCTGGAGCAGCAGAGAGGGACTTCCTCGGACCACCATCTCCACCCCGTGGCCACTGAGGAAACTGCAACCAAGAACTAAGCGGTTTCCGCCGCCTGTCGCCAGCGGCTTAGGATCCCTGACTGCATGGACTGCATGCCTTGGCCTCGTTGGGGTGGGCTAGCTACCCCTCAGCCAAAGCCAGAGACGAGCTGCACCCCCATTTCCCTCCCCGGGAAGAGGTATGTAGCCCAGTCTCAGGCCCCGGGGGTAGATGAGCGCAGAAGAGCAGCGAAGCGGCACCCCTGAGAACGCTGGCTCTGCTTACCCACCCCTGCTCTGCCTCGCCTCTCCCCCGCCCACTCCCAGGCTCAGATGTCACCTCACCTGGGTGCGAGTCTGGACCAGCCCCACCTGCACCACGTGGGTCCTCATGGCATCTGCCAGCTTGGCCACGAGCCGTGTACGCACCGCCTCTGGCTCCTTCTGGGTGGTGGATAGGGGTACGGGGAGGGGAGTGTGTGCCCTGTGGGCCCCTGCCCCCTGGGAAAGAAACAGGACGGCGGAAGGGAAGCGGGACGTTCTCTCCCTTCTGTTCTATCCCCTTCTCATGCTTTTCCCGGGTCCTGCCGCCACCTGCCCAGAACTGTGGACCGAAACTGACCCTTCCTCACAACAGGACCTCAGGACCTCGCCCACAGAGCGCGTTTGATGAGTGAATACACGGTGGGAAGGAGATACGGAGTGAAGGCAGGAGTGTCAGACGGCCAAGGCTTCTGGGAGGACAGAGAGCAGGCGCAAGGCTCACCTGACAGAGGGCCAGTGCTTCCTCGTAGTGGGTCAAGGCCTGGTCATACTGCCCCAGCGTGGCCGCAGCGGCCCCCAGGCCCTCACAGGCCTGCCACTGCCCCTTCACGTCCCCTGTTAAGAAAGCCTGACAGGTCTTCTGTGGCTCCCACCCCACAGACACACCCCAAGAGTACCCCCACCCCCAGGTCCTGCCATGTCTCCCTGCCAGCCCCAAGGATCCTTAGGCTTTGTCCCCCAACTCCCTGACCCCAAGTGACACTGTCCCCCACCTCCCGTACCGGAGTCCCGGGCAGCTTGCAGGGCGTGCAGGTAGTTGTCTCTGGCAGCCCTGTGGTCCCCCAGCTGGCTCAGTGCAAATGCCAGGCTGCCAAAGCTCCGGCCCTGCTCCCAGCGCTGCCCCACGGAGCCTGGCAACAGAGCACACCCCACCCTAAGAGGGCACTGTGGCTGCTGGGTATCAGGACCCCGCCCCCCGGCAACCAACAGGGGCCTCCTGGGAGTCCTAGTGCCCAGCGCAGTGCACCCGCAGTCGGACCGCAAAGGCCTGAATTCTGCACCTTGCCTCCCCTTGTCCTAAGTTTTGGCCTAAATGCCTGTTCCTGGCTGGTTCGAGCCTGCAAGGTGGGGATTTATTGTTTTGTTTTTTAGGTTTCTGCCACAGGACTGGTGCACTTGCCGGAGAGTGATAGAAAGAGGGGGATGGCCATGCCACAATCCCTTCTCCTCCATTCTCCTCTCAGGATTCTGGGCATGCACGCACACACGCCTGGCATGTTTTTTAAGCCTGGACCCAGGGCTTGAACCATGGAGTTGGCCATGTAGGATCCAGCACTTTAACCTTCATGCTGCCTGCTGGCCTCAAGATAGGGATTAATAGCCCATTTTTATACATGTGGAAATTGAGGCTCAGAAAGCTAAGACCCTCCTGAAACAGAGGGTCTGGGATCTGCTGCAGGTACCCTCCCTCCCTTGTCCCGCGCCCCTCCTCCTGCCACTGCTGCCTGCCCCAACTCTCTCTCCCGGCTGGTCATCCTATGCCATCCTCTGGACTCCCGGGCCGCATAATGGTCCCAAAGGCCCATCTGCCCTTAAGCCTCGGGGCCTCGGCTGGAACCCTTAGTCCCCGGTTGCAGTTCCGTTCCCCGGCCGCCGGCACCCACCATGGAGGTCGGCAGCCTTCCGGTGGATCTCCTGGGCTTCCCGATAGTTGCCGAGGGCATTGTGGGCCATCCCGAGGTTTCTCAGCACAGTGGCCTGCTCTCCCGGCTCCCGGCACAGGGGCAGGGCCTGCAGGAAGATCTCCACGGCCAGTGGGAACAGCTGGAGCTGGGAGTAGCCCAGGCCCAGGTCATTGTAGAGCTGCCCTGGAGGGCACAGCCAGGGCCGGTGGTGAGCAGGTCAGCCCCGTCCCACCCCTGCAGGCTCCCCAGCCCCTTTCCCAGCTCCCAGGTTCCACACCTCTGCCCAAGGCCTCACCCAGCAGCAGTCCCCGCCTGGTGCTCCTCTCGGCCAGCCTCCGGCTCTGCTCCAGCACCTGCACCACCTCTCCCACTCCATGCCGCCCGCTCTGCAGCATACACCCTGCCGCGGCGCCCAGGGCCAGGGCTGCGGCCTGCGGCTGTCTCGCTCGGGCATAGGCCTGGCTTGCTTCCTGCAGGCAGCGAGCGGCTAGCTCAAGCTGGCCCAGAGCCTGGTAGCAGGCTCCCATTTTTGCCTGGGCTTCTCCTTGGTCACCCTGTGGTTGGTAGTGGCCCAGGGCCCTGTGGTACCAGGCCAACGCTTGTGGCAGGTCACCCAGGGCCTGGTAGGCCAAAGCCACATTGAAACACTGGTCACCGTGATACCCGCCCTGCGCCCTCTCCTCTGGTTGGGCTCGCAGGAGCAGTTCCAGGCCTCTGGCTGGGTCCCCTGTCTCCACGTAGGCAGCCCCTAGGTTGAAGGCACAGGCTCGGAGTACAGGGGTGTCCCCCGTTGGTGGTGCCTCAGAGGCCAGGAGGAAGGCCCTCTGGAAGCTGGCTAAGGCCTCATGGCTCCGGCCAGCCCGCAGGGCCCTGAGGCCGGCCTTGGTGAGGGCGTGGATGCCTGCCTCTTGCTCCAGCTGCTTTCTTTTCTTCTTTTTCTTCTTCGGGCTCAGGGGTGCAGGTTCAGGCTCCCAGGGGATGTCGTCAGGCTTGGGCGAAGACATAGGGCTGTTAGTGGGGAGCAGAGGGTCAGTATGTCTCGGCCCCTCGAGGGTAATTCAACTCTCTCCCTGCCCTGGAGTGACACTCAGAGTTCTGCGGGCGTCTGACTTCTGACTTCATCTGTCCCATTGGGCACCAGATCGACTCTCACTCTAATGCTCGAATTTCTGCCTCTTCCAAGTTTATTCATTTATTTTCTCCACAAGTGAATGAGATAGAGAGATGGCACCTCTGGGAGGGTCTTCTTTTTTTTTTTTTTTGAGAGGTTTTTTCGCTATAGGGCGTGTGCACTCGCCAGACAGAGAGAGACATAGAGACAGAAAGCAAGAAATCACCCCCCAGAGGGGATGGTCACGCCGCAATCCCTTCTCCTCCATTCTCCTCTCGGGATCTTGGGCACGCACGCACACGCGCCCGGAGTGAGTTTTAAGCCACCGGGTCCGGGATGCGAACCGTGGTTGACTGTATGGGAATCCAGCGACATAGCCATTACGCTAACTGCTGGTTCCCTTCCGGGAGGGTCTTGACACTGTAATCCAGCCCTAGGTCATAGGCGTGGGTGCCTGGTGTACCCAGGGGGTCTCTTCTGGATGTGAACCTGGACCCTCCCCCAGGGTCAGCCTCACAGAGCCTTGCATTTGACCCCTGTGCCGCCCTGATCCCCTTGACTAACTAGTGTTGTGTGTTTGTCTTCTGTTGGAGGGCACATGCATTTGCCGGAGAGACAGGAGAGAGAGGGAGAGACAGAGACAGAGAGAGAGAGAGAAAACACACCCCCAGTGGGATTGCAGTCCCTTCTCTTCCCCATTCTGTTGGGATTTGGAACATGCGTTTACACAGGCTCCGTGTGTTTGTCTTCTTTCTTTCTTTTTTCTTTTTTTTAGGTCCTGTCATAGTGTGTTCATCAGAGAAAGAGAGAGGGAAAGTGAGAGATTTACCCCTCCCCCAGGGGCTGGCCATGCCACAGTCCCTTCTCCTCTGTTCTGTTTGGATTTGGGGCATGCACGCAACACTCCCGGCATGATTTTCAAGCTCCTAGACCCAGGATTCAAACTGTGGCCAGTCATGGGAAAGTCCAGCGCCTTAACCACCATGCTACCTGCCAGTCCCTCTCCGTGTGTTTTGTTTTGCAGAGATTTTTGCTATAGGGAGCGTGCACTTACTGGAGAGACAAACAGAAAGTGAAAAACCACCCTCTGGGGGGATAGCCATGCCATAGTCCCTTCTCCATTCTCCGTTCACAAGTGCCCGGTGTGAGTTTCCAGTCACTGGGTTCGGGACTTGAACCGTGGTTGACAACATAGGAGTCCAGTGCCTTAACCACCACACCACCTCCTAGTCCCTCTCCATGTGTTTTTTAAGCTGTCAGGGCTGGGATTTGAAAAGCGCTGTCGGCCATGTGAGATCCAGCTCCCTTGACCACTAGGCCATGAGACTGGCTCATAATTCCTAACTTCCTTTAGGACTTAGGTCAGAGGTCAGCAGGTGGCATAGTGGTGAAGGTGCTGGACTCCCACATGGCTGACTGTGGTTCGAGTCTCAGACCCAGAGGCTTGAAACTCATGTTGGGTGCGAGTGTCCGAAATCCCAGGAGAAGATGGAGGAGAAGGGATTGTGGCATGGCCATCCTCCCTGGGGGGGGGATGCGAACCGTGGTTGACTGTATGGGAATCCAGCGACATAGCCATTACGCTAACTGCTGGTTCCCTTCCGGGAGGGTCTTGACACTGTAATCCAGCCCTAGGTCATAGGCGTGGGTGCCTGGTGTACCCAGGGGGTCTCTTCTGGATGTGAACCTGGACCCTCCCCCAGGGTCAGCCTCACAGAGCCTTGCATTTGACCCCTGTGCCGCCCTGATCCCCTTGACTAACTAGTGTTGTGTGTTTGTCTTCTGTTGGAGGGCACATGCATTTGCCGGAGAGACAGGAGAGAGAGGGAGAGACAGAGACAGAGAGAGAGAGAGAAAACACACCCCCAGTGGGATTGCAGTCCCTTCTCTTCCCCATTCTGTTGGGATTTGGAACATGCGTTTACACAGGCTCCGTGTGTTTGTCTTCTTTCTTTCTTTTTTCTTTTTTTTAGGTCCTGTCATAGTGTGTTCATCAGAGAAAGAGAGAGGGAAAGTGAGAGATTTACCCCTCCCCCAGGGGCTGGCCATGCCACAGTCCCTTCTCCTCTGTTCTGTTTGGATTTGGGGCATGCACGCAACACTCCCGGCATGATTTTCAAGCTCCTAGACCCAGGATTCAAACTGTGGCCAGTCATGGGAAAGTCCAGCGCCTTAACCACCATGCTACCTGCCAGTCCCTCTCCGTGTGTTTTGTTTTGCAGAGATTTTTGCTATAGGGAGCGTGCACTTACTGGAGAGACAAACAGAAAGTGAAAAACCACCCTCTGGGGGGATAGCCATGCCATAGTCCCTTCTCCATTCTCCGTTCACAAGTGCCCGGTGTGAGTTTCCAGTCACTGGGTTCGGGACTTGAACCGTGGTTGACAACATAGGAGTCCAGTGCCTTAACCACCACACCACCTCCTAGTCCCTCTCCATGTGTTTTTTAAGCTGTCAGGGCTGGGATTTGAAAAGCGCTGTCGGCCATGTGAGATCCAGCTCCCTTGACCACTAGGCCATGAGACTGGCTCATAATTCCTAACTTCCTTTAGGACTTAGGTCAGAGGTCAGCAGGTGGCATAGTGGTGAAGGTGCTGGACTCCCACATGGCTGACTGTGGTTCGAGTCTCAGACCCAGAGGCTTGAAACTCATGTTGGGTGCGAGTGTCCGAAATCCCAGGAGAAGATGGAGGAGAAGGGATTGTGGCATGGCCATCCTCCCTGGGGGGTGATTTCTCACTTTCTCTCTCTGTCTCTCTGGTGAATGCATGTGCTCTATGGCAAAAACTTTAAAAAAAAAAAAAAAAAAAAAAGGACTTAGGTCAAGTGCTAGCTTCCTGTAGAAAGGCCCCTTCTCCTCAACCAGCTGGTCCTACAGCAGCTATGCCTATGCCTCTTGTGACGTTTGTCACCCTGGGCTAAAGCTGCTCACGTTCTTTCCTAACTCCCGCCTAGAATTGGAACAGCCTGAAGGGCCTGGCCATGGCAGAGTCTTGGCGAATGTTTATGGGGTGGGGTGGACAAGCTTTGGGGATGAATGGAGATGCTAGCACAAAGCGAGAGAGCACCCAATGCCACTGACTGCACACCGGAAATGCCTGGAATGGTAACTTTTACCTATGTGTTACCACAATAAAATCCCTATGGTGGCCAGCAGGTGGTGTGGTGGTTAAGACACTGGACTCCCACATGGCCAACCAAGGTTCAAGTCCCAGACCTGGCAGCTTGCCTTCTCACTTTCTCTTTCTCTGGTAAGCACATGCGCAAATTAAAAAATAATAGTAATAAAATAGAGTAAAAATCTCTGTGAGGGCTAGCTCTGTAGCTC